ATGTGGAGGTGCACTTCATACGTTCATCTGATCAACTTGCCGATATTTTCACTAAGGCCCTGCCTGAAACAAGCTTCAATATAATACTATAAGGCCCGAGTATGATAGAAGCAGAGTCTATCTCAAAACACCTCATATCCCCTTAAAAGGTTAGTTAAGTGAAATAGAGTGAGGCTCGGTCTATTTTGGTTCCATAAATTTTTAAGGAACCGAAATGAACCGACCGCTCGGTCTATTTCGGCTCCGTATTTTTATGGAACCGATATAAGCTGACCGCTCGGTCTATTTCGGCTCCGTATTTTTAGGGAACCGATATAAGCCGACCGCTCGGTCTATTTTGGCTCCGTAATTTTTGGGAACCGATTTAAGCCGATCGATCGGTCTATTTCGCTTCATTACTTCTAGGTGTTACTTTCGGCTGTATAGTATGTTTATTCTTTCTTACGCCATTTTATTTCCTTTTCTCTTGGTAATTTATTTATTTTTGTTTTGTTTCACATATTATTTTCACTTCCGTTTTTTTTTGTTTTTCTATTATATTTTTTTATTATTTTTCAGAAAAATTCAAAAATACAAATTTTTTTACCTCATAAATTTTTTTCTAAAATCCATTTATTTATTTATTTTTTATTTTTTTGCATTTTGTATTTTGTGTGGTTCTTCTCTGTTTTCCTTATTAGGTCACAAGAACATTGAAGGTGCGTGCTTTAGAACCAGGGAAGGTATAAAATTCTTTTATTTTTTCGACTAGCTAGGTGTCCCTAGAAGCATGCTGCTGTATGTAGACCGAAGCCTCAAAAACTTTGAGTGAAGCCTTAATGATTCGATTCATACCAATCGTTTCTTCCTAATCACGCTGCTACATTCACTCTAGTCACGGGCTACCTTACTCTTCTCATATGAGTTTAGAGTATTCTGCTTTGTCATTTCTATAGCAGAGGTACTTTCGGCTCTCTAAGCCACCTGTTTCGCATTCTTCATCACGCTTCATTCCAAACATGTAACCCTTGAGACTCTCGGTTATTACCACTGAGGTTTATGGTTACCCAAAATCTGTGTTTATGATCTGAGCTGCGTAAAACACATGCTGAGTGAGACCCCCAATCCAATACCAATAAGGAATTAACGGTGAATATTAATATTCAAGATTTTACTTGTTACCCCATGAAATATTTTTTTTGCAAGATCTTTAGGAAATTGTCTAACTCCAAGGCATTTCTTCCCAGAAGGTCCACTTCAGTTTTGTGTTTGAGATTTCTATTTCCAACCACTTATCAAAGTATCTAATCTACTTGTTCAGCAGACCACATCAGTCTCACAAGTACTTCTTCCAACTCTCGATCTTATATTAAGTATATAAGTTTGGTTGGAGATATGCCACCTTTTAAGAGCCGATAGTAGAAAAGATGTCTTTCAATGTTTCTTAACAAACACTCGATCGTATTTTATCAGGGAACCACACAAGCACTTCACTTCTCTCATGAGTTTGAAGGAAGCGATTCATACCCAGAATCAACTGCTTCATGTCATGTTAAGACATCACTCTCATCCTATACACTGTTGTTTTATTTTTTTATCTTTGGCACTCTTGCAAGAAAATTCCTTGGAATTTTCCAAAATTCTAATTGTGCTACCAATGCATCATGGTTTTCCTTGCGTATCTTGCAAGTAGAAGATTTAGTTGAAGAGACGCCTTGTGGATAAGAATTTGAACCGAGTCATACGATAAGAATGAAAATGGGCGCATGAATTTGAAACGGCTCCTAATATCACACGTGCTAACGTCTATCTGGGGAAACCAAGCTGTCAAATCCCGCTTTTTCAGGAGACGGTTCAGAGATTGTATAATTATCACAGACGATACTCTCTATCTCATGGCAACAGTATATAAAGGCTAGGGTTTCACAGACCTATTGTACCTTCTTACCTTATTCTCAATCTCTCAAATACAACAGGCAATTCTCCACTGTTCATCTTCTCTCTTAATTAAACAATGACAGACTCATTCTCTCACCACGAACAGATTGCTTCATCTTCTCTACTTGTGATCAAACCCAACTAGAACTTGCTCACCCAACTGAATCCATTTCTATACGACTTATATATGCTTTATGTCGTTGAATACCTCAAATACTCCCCATTGGTCATTGCTCTAACTCAGGTGGAGTCGGTTCCTATGTCTCTATCTTCGGAGGTTTATTCTACTGTTGTAAACGACAAGAACCGGGATAGGATTTACTTCCAAATCTTCAATCGAAAGACTTCTATCTTGAAAGATCGGTTTTGTTCTTTGCTGGGGCTTGCAGTCGATGCATCTGTTATTTCTCCAGATTTTGTTACGACTACTCAATTGTTTACAATGTTCTATGTGATGGGTTACACTGAAGTGCTTACTATGCTGACGAAGTTCAAGAAGTCTTGTCTAGAATTTTCATCACACGTCGATTGAGGTTAGTAAAATTTTCATCACACGTCGATTAATTATCATTTTATTATTATTTAAAGACGATTGAATTGATTTGTATGAATCCTGTGAAAGGGTGAGTACCTAAGATCTATAAAAGATCTGTTAGAAAAGAAGGAGCACAACTACAACCTAATCAAGGTAACTCACAGTCACAGGTAAACTCTCTGTTTCTCATGGTTGTTTTTATTATCTGTAATAACTATAGTTATAGATTAATTATTGGTTTTGTTATAATATGATTGAATTGATTTGTATGAATCCTGTTAAAGGGTGAACATGATGGATCTGTTAGAAAAGAAGAGGTGCAGGTGTTATATGTATTGCTTGTAGAGTAGCAAGAAGCTTTTTGGATGACATTCTTTTTAATCTCATTCTGTTGAGCTATATGTTATATGTATTGCTTGTAGAGTATGTACAATATATGTTAGGCTTTTGATTGTTTTTAATGTTAAGTTAAAAAGGCTTGGATATTTTAAACGAATATTCACAAAAATGAATTTTTAATCAAAATAATATAATAGAATCTATATTAGAAAATGAAAAATAAAAAACTTATGTACCCTAAAAGATAGATAGATTAAAAATAAATACCTTTTCTTACCTGAGTATGTGGAATATCAGTGTAATTTATAGCAGAAACTGTTGCTTTATCACCCTTTGAGCCTGCAGCAAGTAACAAAAAAATTGTAACTCATTGTAACTATATGCATATTGCAATGCACAATTATGAAAAAAAATTAACGAACATTAGCATTTAGCAAAATATGTGTGAAGAAAGGTTCACATAATGTAAGCTTGGATATTATACTTTGAAGCATGCGTTTGTTGCTTCTGGCTCTAAGGATTTGAACATTGGTGGGACAAGAGACTGGCATGCATATATATTCAAGAGAAACAGCCAAATGGAATTGTATTCATTCTAATATAGGGGTAAAAAATCACGGTACTGTGATAACTGATGCATACATTGAAGTTACTATAAAAAATAGCTTTTTGCTCTCAGCTGCACTTTTTATATATGAGATAAAAGTACCCGATCTTCAAAAATTCACATTAAATCACTCGTAAATCCAATTAAAAAGACTTTTTAGTTGTTAAAATCGCCTAAGAGCTTTCTAAAACTCGAATGTTGTAAGTTTCTTGAAAAGACTTCATTAAAGTAACTAAAAATCACGTTTTCATAAAGCAAGCAATGCTGTCAACTCATAAATCATGCCCATTTATGCTTTAGTGTGACCATGAAACTAACCACAGTTAGATTATGTCAAAGCCTAGAAACATCTCATTCATCAATCCTATTATAAGTATACAAAATGCAAAGCTAGAATAGTAATTTTTGCCATGTAAGCTAATTTTTTTGGCAGTGCCCATCATACCTACTTGCATGGGAAACCAGGGACATCAACCTTCTAAATGACTAAAAGTAGGTTCTACTCCTAATTGCATTTGATCATAAATGAAAATGTTTCTTGTAAGAATAAATTAATAAGTGGAGGAGATACTAACCGTATAAGATGCACAACACCAAGCCACATACAGTTGTAGTTACCACCCAGATCAATGCACTTTTAATCCTCTTGCCAATAGTCCTACAAGCAAAAATAGTTAGAAGCATAAATACATACACTTTCAATGTTTAATGAGAAGCTTCAAGTTACAGATGATGAATACAAGACAATGTAAATGAGAAGCTTCAAGTTACAGATGGCAGTGGTTTGATACAGGTGTACAGAAAAGAAGTTGAAGATAGGCTTGCCTTATTAGGCATGCTCATGTTTATATAAATTATAATTATTTAAGAACCCATGTTTTAATGTAGTTTTTGAATCTGACCCTTGGCTGTAAATAAACATTGTAAAGTGGTTTATATTCTAATATTCATAAAACAAGATACTAAGATAAGTTGGTGTATATATTTTGGTTTTAGAAAGGTGTGAGAGACCAAAAGAATTGAACATGTGTGTGGCTATGTATTATGTATGTATGTATGTTTGGAAGTAGCCATTAGCCAAAAGAATGTATCTTCTTTGAAAACAAGGGAAAAGTAGAGGGACCGAATTGTAATATTGTGTGCTTTCTGTTTTCATCGACCCACATGCAAGCAAAATACTCCAATTCAGGAGGATTGATTGTACCTGCAATCTCCTTGCCATCTATTTATAACTCGGTCTACCTTGATAAGCCCAGGTGTAAGATGAAACTACTCTTCTCTACTGAGATTGGTACATGGGTGTTTGTCAGTGAAGTTAAATCAACATCAGATATCTCCACGCAAGGAGTCAATGATCCATCTTAGGGTCTAATAGGAGGCTTAACAAATGAAGCCTTGTACAGCTTCGGAGTCCGATTGAAAAAACAGATAGAGTTAGTTCATTCTTCATACAGAGGTTTGTATGCTTTAGGGGAATTAATACCTCCTAAACCTCAAGATCACAATGTTATTTTGGTTCCCTGTTCCACTGTTGAATTGAATTGTCTAGTGGTTGATGTTTATTGGTGTTATATCTTAGTACAATCAACTAGCTGGTTGCCTATGCTCTCAAGAGTGATGAAAGGTATGTCTGGGAATGCAAAAATTCAAGCTTTTGAAACTATACCTAGACAAGTACATTGCAAAAGCTGGTGCAAGAAAACCAGGATTCTTTTCAAAATTCTTTTAGAAAGAACACCAGAAGATAGAGATCAAAGGTTGACTGCTGATATACTGAGGGAAGCTGCTGCAAAAACAGATGGATTTTCAGGAAGAGAGGTTGCAAAGCTTATGGCAAGTGTACAAGCTGTTGTTTATGGAAGTGAAAACTGTGTGCTTGATCCACTTTTGTTTCGTGAAGTGGTTGATTATAAGGTGGTTGAGCATCAACAGAGAAGAAAGCTGGCGGGGAATGATGGTGGTGATTAGTTAGTTATTTGTTATTGTTTGGGTGGCATTTTGGGGCATGCAGGTGAGTTATCTGCTTTTGTGTCTTTGGTGGTCAACCCATTCGGTCAAATTGGGATGAAAGAAAGATTCTGGTACATCTAATAAAGAGTTGTTATTGATATACAAAAATGAACAATTATTAATTGGCTTTGTATTAAGGCAAAGAATCGACTTTATTTTTAACAAGATGAGATGAATGTTTTGTTTGTTTGTAGCCAGAAGATTTGTTGCAATAATATCAGAATTTTCTTTAGCCAGCAGTTTTGTGTTTGTCTTTTTTTGCAAATTATGCACCTATTTGAAAACTGAATATGATAAGTCTGATGAGTATATCATTATCTACAAGCCTCTACTTCAAGATGGTGGTATTGATAGAGAATGTGATAAAGAATGGATCTTCTTTGAAAACAAGGGAAAAGTGGAGGGACCGAATTGTAATATTGTGTGCTTTCGGTTTTGCTCTTATGCAGAAACATCCCTACGTAGCACTGTTATTGAAACAAAACAAAATGTTGAAGGTAGTCATAAGAAAAGGTAGGCACTATGTTGGATATTATTCCTTTTATATATCAGCTCAGATACCGATTTGTTGGAAATATAACAATCTGATCACCACAACAAAAGGCTCGGTTACCAGTTACTGTGTGACAGATATATTAGTTTAAGATATAAGAAATATATATATATATATATATATATATATATATATATATATATATAAAGAATAATAATTGTGGAATAAGTATAAATATGAAAGCTGTAAATGACTGAAAGCTATAATAATATAAATGACTGTATTTAAATGATGTAAAGCTATAAATAATATAAATGACTGTATTTAAATGACATAAAGCTATAAATAATATAAATGACTATATTTAAATGACATAAAGCTATAATAAAGTATATAAATATATAAATATATATCAAGTAGGTTCGTCAATAAATTGACTGAACTGGACTTATGGAGCGACTGGTCGATATTTGTTCTTTGAATGGACTGGTCGATATTGGGACTCTTGGAGCGACTGGTCGATATTTGTTCTTTGAATGGACTGGTCGATATTGGGACTCTTGGAGCGACTGGTCGATATTTGTTCAAAGATCAATCCGGCATTGGATAAGTAACAAAAAGTTCATTTAAAGCTCGATTTTATGTAAAACAAGTGTTTACAAAAGGGTACAAAATACATGGGTTTATGTATTTGTAGTTGAAGTATTTTTGGGTAAAAACATGCACACGGGTCATGTAAGATAAGGCACAAGTGACACGGGTCGTGTAGGAGGGTTTTGGAGGGTTTTCTTGAAGAATGATGCTGACACGGGGCGTGTTGATTTAGCCTTGCTGAACACGGGGCGTGTTCATGATGCAGATGCTGACACGGGGCGTGTTGAGGTTCAGAAGTATGAAGAAGGCAATCAGAGGGCAACACGGGGCGTGTTGATTTTGCCTTGGTTTTTAACACGGGGCGTGTTCGTGTCAGAGTCAATTTTGGGATTTTTGTGATTTGAAGGTAAGTTTTGTTTGTGATGTTTTGGCTAGGGTAATGGTGTTAAGGTGTTTTGAGGATGTTTTCAAGGTTGTTTAGAGGTTGGAAGGAGGTTTATATAAGGTGGTAAAGGTGGTGAAATTTCTCATGAAGATGATGATGAATAGTGATGGGTTTTGTGGTTGATCATGATATAGAAGGTTTTGGGTTGTTTCATGGTTGTGTTTTGGTGTTTTGATGTAAGGAAAGTGTATTGTTGGATATTATTCCTTTTATATATCAGCTCAGATACCGATTTGTTGGAAATATAACAATCTGATCACCACAAAAAGGCTCGGTTACCAGTTACTGTGTGACAGATATATTAGTTTAAGATATAAGATATATATATATATATATATATATATATATATATATATATATATATATATATATATATATAAAAGAATAATAATTGCGGAATAAGTATAAATATGAAAGCTGTAAATGACTGAAAGCTATAATAATATAAATGACTGTATTTAAATGACGTAAAGCTATAAATAATATAAATGACTGTATTTAAATGACATAAAGCTATAAATAATATAAATGACTATATTTAAATGACATAAAGCTATAATAAAGTATATAAATATATAAATATATATCAAGTAGGTTCGTCAATAAATTGACTGAACTGGACTTATGGAGCGACTGGTCGATATTTGTTCTTTGAATGGACTGGTCGATATTGGGACTCTTGGAGCGACTGGTCGATATTTGTTCAAAGATCAATCCGGCATTGGATAAGTAACAAAAAGTTCATTTAAAGCTCGATTTTATGTAAAACAAGTGTTTACAAAAGGGTACAAAATACATGGGTTTATGTATTTGTAGTTGAAGTATTTTTGGGTAAAAACATGCACACGGGTCGTGTAAGATAAGGCACAAGTGACACGGGTCGTGTAGGAGGGTTTTGGAGGGTTTTCTTGAAGAATGATGCTGACACGGGGCGTGTTGATTTAGCCTTGCTGAACACGGGGCGTGTTCATGATGCTGATGCTGACACGGGGCGTGTTGATTTAGCCTTGCTGAACACGGGGCGTGTTGAGGTTCAGAAGTATGAAGAAGGCAATCAGAGGGCAACACGGGGCGTGTTGATTTTGCCTTGGTTTTTAACACGGGGCGTGTTCGTGTCAGAGTCAATTTCGGGATTTTTGTGATTTGAAGGTAAGTTTTGTTTGTGATGTTTTGGCTAGGGTAATGGTGTTAAGGTGTTTTGAGGATGTTTTCAAGGTTGTTTAGAGGTTGGAAGGAGGTTTATATAAGGTGGTAAAGGTGGTGAAATTTCTCATGAAGATGATGATGAATAGTGATGGGTTTTGTGGTTGATCTTGATGCAGAAGGTTTTGGGTTGTTTCATGGTTGTGTTTTGGTGTTTTGATGTAAGGAAAGTGTTTGGTGGTGTATGATGTGATGATCAAAGGTGGTGAAGATGAAAAACCTTTAGTTTCAATGAAGAAGATGAAGATGGTTGATGGTGTTCTTCATTTAGCTTCTTGTTTGATCTTGGTGTTCTTCACTTGGCTTCTTGTTTGATCTTGGTGTTCTTCATTTAGCTCCAGGGATTTGTCTTTGTTCTTGAGGAGGATGAAGATTTGTGATGTTCTTGGGAGAGTTTGTAGTTTGTAGAAGTGTTACAAAATTACAAATGAACACACACACACACACACTACATACTCACGTATACATATATGCATTGAAACAAATATCTTCTTCACTTGTACTTGAGTGTAAGATGCAAGTTGATGTAGAGCTAGAGCAAAAAAACGTGGGAAGGGTTTTTGCTTCTCATTTTTGACTATTCAACATATATACATATATAATACATACATATGTATATAATACACACACACACACACACATATATATATATATATATATATATTGTTGAAATTGTTTAGTCACACATATGTGTTTTCGTCATTCGCGTGTTTTCGTATTTTCCGTTTTATCACGCATTCATGCAACCTGAAATAACTGATAATATTTGTTAGATTGTATAAAAACAGTTCATCTTATTTCAGTTATGGTCACATACAAGGTTACATAAGAACATTTTTCAACAATTTCCCCCTATGTGATCATTGCTGAAATAAGGACAGGTATGATATAATCATATTGACAGTTTAACTTTTGAAGATTCGAGATAAAAGATTTGTCAATAGATAAGATATATATAAAACCATAGCAATTGATTTGAAAGTTTGTGACTTGGTTTAACATATCTTATGTAAAAGATTTTCAGAAATTTGTTTCCGAATCAAAGTCTCGGGTTCGGTTATCAAAGGGTAGCCATATATGTATCTAAAGAAATTTCTTAAGATTTTATAGCATTATTAATGACGACAAGTGGTTTAACAGGTCGATTCAGATGAACGCTCATAGGTATAGCTCACACTTCACTTGGGTGTTTGGTTGTTCTGGCAGCAGAACAAGTTAATGATCACTAAAAACGAGTGATATCTCTCTCTGACGACTCACACTCATATTGGAGGTGTTCAACTATGCTTTTCCGAAAGGTCACTTAGTCTCATTATTAGATAATCAATCACATAAGACTGGTTTCGGCATTACTCAGCGGGTTTCTTCATTCATGCCATTTAAGTTCACTCTCTCTCCGTCGGGAAATACATGTAGAGGGGTTTAGCAATTTTCATAGTGCAGTTTGCAACTAAGAATCTTCAGTGATGAAGGCTACAGTATCCCGGGAAATCCATTGTTGTTGCAGCTTTTTCTTTGATGGTATCCTTTTTGTTGATCAATATCTTTTTGTTGTAAAAGGATATTTTGTTTTAGCATCGAGAATTTGCTACATTTGAGAAAATTGGGATTTTTGAGAGTATCTATCTTGCGGGATTAAGATATCCCTTTTTGTGAAAAATGGTTAAAAACAGATCACGAGATCTTTTGATGTTTGCTTTGAAATAACCATTTGGTTGAACTTTGTTTGAAAATACCAAATGTAGAGTTTTTTTTTTTTTTTTTGGTATTTCTTCGGTGAATGATTTGGCTTTCTTGTTGATTCTTCTTTATCTTGTTTCGTCTTTTCTTGTTGATGGATCACGGGATCTCAAGACATCATTTTTGGTTGGCTTATATCTAGGTAGGGATTAGTGGCATAAAAGACAGTTTGTCTAGTATGTAAGAAATGAATGTATCGTCCCTGGTCATTTTGATATCTAAGCAAAAATGAGACCGTGACAAGGTATAATCGGATATACCTTATAAGCAATAGTGACACACCTAAGCTCACAAGAAATGAATTCCACAATGATTCAGATTGATGAGGCACAAATTCTCACATGGGTTTTTGTTTTCATCTGAACCTCCTAACCTTATGTCCCTTTTTAAAATCATCAATAATGAAATAAAATTGAAGGAAATAAAGTTATGTACATTATGAAAAGTAGGAGATTTGAACCTTCACTCCAATTGAGAATCAAT